TTTTTTTTTTTTCAAGCGAAAAATCAATTGCATTTGTTCTATATAAAAATTATTTTACACGTCAATATATGTATATGTGTGTCTGTAAAGTATTATTTTTCGTTATTACGTTATTATCTATACAATATTATATTGCAGAAGAAATTACATTCAACAAATACATGTATACGTTTGCTTGTCCAGCAAGTTCCAAGGCTATTGGTAGAATAATGCATGTGATAGTTATAAAGTGGAACGTCAGATTCAAGGATCGATGGCGCTCTATCGAAAAAGTTTGCATGGAAACGCAAAATGCAGACTTATCTTCGACAGGATGATTATAGTAATTATAGCTACATCCTGCCATTCTTGATACATCTATTCGTTTAATTATTCATCTAATGTTTAAAAAAACACGTATCTCGTTCAACGCGACAAAAAATTATCAAATGCTTTTTACTGCTGTGGTATCTTCGTAGAATTTTACATCTGTAGAAAATGAATACATATTTACGATCTTTGGATCTTCGAGCGATTCAGATCAATATTTTTAATTATTATTTGAATATTTTAATTATTTGAATTCCCTCAATCCTCAAACATCTAGAAATCAAAAGAAAGGCATCAATTTGATATGAAAATATGTTTTCCTTAGTCGTTTTTAACCATATTAAAACCAATTTTGTGAAATTAATAAAGCACTTAAAAATTCTACTCGATGAAATGGTTAAGTAGTAACAAGTGGACAACGTGAAATATGAAAATATGCTACGAGACGCGAACGACGAATTTTGTAAGTAGCAATGTAGCCGATGCATACGTTTCCTGGGTCAATGGGTCAGACGTACACCCCTTCTTTTTCCCGAACTTCCTTTACACAAAGACTTATTTTGCTTACTCTGTTCATCCATTTTTTTACGTTTATTATATCCGCTTTAATACGTACTTGGCGTGGACATATATGCCCCTGATATCAAGATTCAACGATGCATCTATCGCACCCCCTGCAAGAAATCCAACCTTCTGCCTTTTCGATTCGCTCGCCGGGGATCGATCCACTTTGGTGTAAACTTGTAAGAAAATGTGCCGCCAGCACGTTACACCCGGATCAAATCAAATAATTGTACGTTCTGGTGTTGTAAATGGACAAAACACGTGACACAAGTAACTAATCGAGTGGAAAGTGCAGACACCACACGATCACGGCGGCATCCTGCAGATTACTGAAGTGATACACATCACACGACCACACCGTTCCCTCTACACCTCCATGCATGCGTCGTCTGCTACCAAGCGGGTCGTACGCGCCCGCTGATTGGCCGACATTTTCGCGGGTCGATTTGCCTTTATGATGATCACTTATGCGCATGCGCGCCACCGTTGAAACCTATGTGTCTCGTTATTCGCTATTCGCTAGCTTCCGCGACGCTACACAGGCTCCCTTTAATTATCTGTCTATCCCACTTCGAATGCCGCTTTCATTATCGAGCAGTATTGAATAGCAAATAGCCTGGATGTTAGGCAAACGTTTCTGTTTAACATTCCATGTGCCGTAGCTGCTTTAAAGCAGCACTTTCGTTAGATTATTGTCTTAGAATCTTGATGGCATTTATAAGTAGCACTTCTAGGAGGTTCTTTGAAGTGTTCCCAACGCTTGGACAGCACATTTTAGCAAACGTTTCTGCAATACAGATAACGATAAATGTTTCATATCGTAAAGATTTCGTGGCAATTTTTACCTAGCGCAATGAAACAATATCGCAAAATGTTCGTTACACCTACAATACTGTTTTGTTAAAACTAGAACTACCACACCTACAGTCAAAATTACTGGTTTTACAATTTTATTTTAAAATTTCTATTTTATGTTATATTCTTTTTCCCCGCAATGATGCAATGACTTTTGCGGTGATAACCAAAAAAATAATATAATGAATTTTACTTTATTTTCATTTATTAGAAATCAAAATAATTTTGTGTCATGGCTACTTATACCAATCGACAGAGTGCCCCCATGTATCGGAGGATTGATACTGATGAATATCATAATTCGTACAATAAGAGTTCACTATTTGCTGTTACATGATCTTTCATTTTTCAAACAAATAGAATAGGCGAAATTTCATTTCCCATCAGCATTAAACTCTGTCGGTATTGCAGTTTATTCGGCGTCGTCCCAATTGGCAAAGCAACACTGCATATTAGGATATTTGAACCGGTTACACTTGTACCTTAACACTGTAATATATTTAAACGTAAAAATTGATCGTCCCGTTTCATTTCAGAAAAATAAACAATCCTCAGATCTACGTATCTCTCAAAGAGGACGACGACGATCTTCGTGGCGTGTCGACGTTTTGGAAATTGGAGAACGAAATATTTTCATACCAGACTAATGAGATTTGCCCGTCTGGCGAAGTCGTTGCCACCGTCGTTCTTGATTTACCAAAATTCGACGAGAGGCCATTTTGCGACGTCTACGGCACAATTGTATACGAAGTTGAGGAGAGAGAATATCAAATTCCAGTGCCTGTTATCCGCCTTAAAATCGACGACACCATCGACAGCAGTTACCAAGTCAAATTTGTAAACCACGTTGGCCTAACAAGGGCGAAAGATGTCGTGCCCCACATTTCGCCAATGATCCTAGCTTTAAGATGTACGTCGGTAGAGAAGAACGTCGACATACAGATGAAAGGAAACTCTGAAACGAAGAAACAATTTCTGAAGTTTCTGAGAAAGTATCTTTTTCAAGAAATCCACACAAATGTTTACGTTGTACAGACAACTGGTTGCCTGATGCATTGTTTGATCGAAATACTGCCCGTTTCTTCTGTCGAAAAGGAAGAAAAGTTGAGGATTTCTTCGAGGTTCGACTGGAAATATATATATATATCTCAATTTTTAAAAACTCTTGTATCATTACTTTCATTAACGTATTAATACATAATAATAATAATTTCTAGATCAAGCCATCAAATGAACATAATAATAGGATTTTTGAGACAGTATTTTCCGGACATGCTAATCGAGGAGAATGTTAATCCTGCGAACGTCAATGCTGCGATAGTCCTCATGGAGGAATTAAAATTGTATGTTAAGGACACTAGCACCGCCAACCGGCAACTAGCGAGAATAGCAACTGACCTACTTATCCCATGAACACGGTAAAACAGATTTTACTTATTAACAGAAGAATAAATAACGAATTAAATGTGTTTATTGTTAACACGCATTTTCAATTTCATTTGATACTTCTTTGATGAAATACATATTATATATTTTGTTATACCTACGTAGCTATCAGAGTTTATATTTTATATTTTTTATGCTTTATTTTTATATAAATTTTATACGTATACCCTTACTGTGTGAAACTCCTGCGTCAAATTATCATTTGCTCGTGAATTAAAGTGAAATTAAGCGTACTATCGAATGATTTCCGAATTATTGTCCCTCGCTCCTAGTTCATCCTCCTAGACAATAATATCAGGATAGTATGGCATAAGTAGTAGCATCGTAACTATCGAGATCCCGCCGAAAACCGGTTTAGTTGTTGCTGCTTCTATCTGCAGTTAAATGAGTGAAACAAAACCATGAACTACGAATAATTTTTTACATACAATTGTGTAAATATTTTAACACGTTTGTAATAGAAAGAGAAAGAGAGATTGATAATCGTATTACATTATACGTAAAGAAAATTTTTACGTAAATTCCTATCTCTCATCCGTTTTGATTCATTTCAATAAAATTCTTTATGACAAGTAAAGCCGTTGAATATATTTGAATGAAGAAATTTGTCAAATGATACCTGTACCTTTGAAACAAAGAAAATTACTGTTCACCAAAATTCTGAACAATGCTGCAACTTATCACACAATTTTTTCCCTAGAAAATTTATAAAGATTTATAATACTGTGTATTAAAATTGTTAATAGAATTCAGTTACTAAAATTATTTTACTTACAGTTTCAGTTATTTGAAAACACGATAACGAATTTAACGAAACTTCTAGTCGATACAACAAAAGCATTTGACAAATACTTTCAGAAAGATTGAAATTCAAATTTTCTTCTCTGATTTCTTTTTCTTTTCTATTCAAACGGAGACACGCGAGATAATAAACAATTTTCGTTTTATAACAGTGCGTAAATAACTTATTTGCTTAACTTCTTCCGCCATATTTCATTTTTCATCCGTAAATCTGATTGGACAATTTTTAAATAAATATACAAAGTGTTTCCGGTTCGATGATGAAATGATTTTATGCAAAAAAGCAATCAAATTGTTTCACTCGAGGCTTCGTTTTTTGCGAAAATTAAATTTGAAAATTTATCAAGTATACTTGAATTCAGCTAGTCCTACTTTTGAAAAAAAGATAAATAATTAACAGAAGGTTATTTTGCGCGCAAAAACAAATCAAAAATGTGGAATAAAATTTATTTCCTTTTCGAAAAAAATCAAGTTTAAAAAGTTACTAAAAAAGTAATTTTTAACGAAACATATATTCAAAATCTATTTTCTTGAAAATGAAAACATTTTCTATAACGTTGGACGTTCAAATCTCAAATTCTCTTAGAAAGTATCTTGAAAGCTTGATAGATACTTTTGTACTTTTATAAAGATGAAGAACAAAGTAGAAGTAAAAGATCTAAGACAACGATATCGCATAAGATGCAACTTTTTCGGAGATATTAAATCCAGAAAACTTATCAAAACTCGAAATTGAAAACTTCGTCAATAGCTTTTCAAATGTTCGATCGAGTTTCTCAATTCAAATTTGCCGCTGCATGCGTACAAGAAGTACATCGGAAGCGCATTTTAGACCGCGTCGCTATGCACGTAATTGGTATCTACTGCCATCATATGTTCCGTGGAACTATGTTACGTCGAGCGTAACTGTCCACTTATCATAGAAAAGAAACTATCGCGTTCGTGATTTGTGAACAACAAATGGCTAACGCATTAGACGTTGTCGATTGGGAAGGTAGATCTCATCTGATGCAACTATTGCTTACGTTCTTTAGTTCTCCGCAGTTTTGTCAGTCCCTGTCTATTGAAATAATCTTGCAACAAGTAATACAACGGCTTGTTTTGACATATGTCATTCTACTCTTAATTTCGTTTCTTTCCTCGTCGCGTCTAACAACGAAACATGCATTACTTTACAAGCTTCCATTCAAATTTAATAGAAATGAAACGTATTTGCTTACAGAGGTTATACTAAAAATACTTTTGTCGTATATCGGAACTCGTTCGAAACATGTACAAAGCAATTCAAAAGGATTTTATTATTACGATCGTAAGATAAAAATTCACTTGACGTGATAGGTTTGTTTGCAATGAAATCGCTTTATAAATGGTATAAATGCTACGATGGTTCTTCAGCAAATTTTGGTGCTTAGTGTACCTAACCTCACATTGGAAAAATTAATTAGTCATCTTTCTTTAACAAACGGAAGTTGCTATTGTCACTACTGTCACTATTGTTACTGCTGTTATTAAACAATTTCTTATCTCTTAAATTAACAGCAATTTATGTAACTTACGTTTGAATATGATACTCTACCTATTAATTATATGTTTACACAAATTTATTGCAACAGGCATCGTTAATTTTGTATTAAATTTTAGATCTCAGAAGGCAGGCGAGACACTTGGAAAATGAGATTGACGCAAAACTAGTAGCATTCAGCAAGCTTGGTGTCAATAGCGGATCCAAGCTTGTCAATACAGATGAAGTACCTCTTTTGGATGAAGAACATGTCTTTGAGAACATGGCTTCTGAAATAGAAGCGCTATTGTCCAAAGTAAATTTAAAATATATTTATCATCACATTAAATTCACGTTTTCAATGATCTAAACTACACGTTTGTTGCAGTTATTTTCCATAAATGAGAGAATGAGCAAATTGCAACCAAACGGCGCTGCAATGTTACACACAATGCAACGCCATAAAGACATATTGAAAGATTATAAACTGGAATTCAACAAAATTAGAAATAATTTTGCTGCAAGGAGAGACAGAGAAGATCTGCTAGGGAATGTCCGTAAGGAGATCGAGTACGTATACCTGTTACTTTATTACTGTTTCCCTTTACATGTTTGACTATGAATTTATAAATGTTCTATGGGGCACAGTAATTACAAAAGTGTGAGCGGACTGAATCGACGGGAAATGTATATGAAAGAGAATCAACATATTCATAAGTGAGTATCTCTTGCTGTATGATTGGTTTTATGGTAATTTAGACTGTTAATTATGCGTGTATGATGTAAAGCACTCTGCCACACTTTTTGGGACTACAAGACTGAAGGAAATTCCCTTTTTCAGTTCGGATCGATTGCTGAATGATCAAATAAGTATAGCAATGGAGACACGAGATCATTTGATGACCCAGAGGCAAACGTTCAAACGTATACAGACCAGACTGAATGATATTTCAAACCGTTTTCCAGCAGTAAATAGTCTAGTGCAAAGGATAAATCTGCGTAAAAGACGAGATTCGCTTATACTCGGCCTTATTATCGGATTTTGCACGTTTCTCATGCTGCTCTATGCTTTTCACTAAATAACACTATACCAAAGTACTTCCACCCGTTAGTGATTCATCGATGGGAATGCATACATGTAGACGAAGTATTTGGTGATATATGTATTTACGATATATAAAAGGATAGGAAATTGAAGTTGAAAAACGAGTGATTCTGCGTGACTTGTGCGTAAATGAATTCCGAAAGGTCGAATGAATGTTTTCTCGTTCTTACAACTTAAGAAGGGCAAAAAAGAAGAAGAAAATGAAAAATGTTAAACTGTACAGTTTTTTTTATACGTAACGTAAATCGTGGGTGATACTATGTAAAAAAAAGATTGAATCCGCGATTCATGTGTTAATTTAATAAACATTAAAACAAACGATAAAGATTTTATGTATTTATAGAATCGTTTGTTCTTTCTTTCTTTTTAGTTTCCTACGTACACGCGTGACTGTATATAATTGTCACGCCGTTTAATACCTTTATTTGGGCAAAGACTGCGAGAAATCATGCATGCACAAAGAAAACCAAGTTTTCCAATTTCTCTACTGTATTTCGTATGTTGGAAAGAGAGAAACAAAATCGCAGCGATCGACAGATTGCAATACAGTACAGTAGACTGATATTTATATAAGACTTTTTATTTGCTGTTAATACGATTCAATGCAAGTACTGAGTTTGTGCTTGCAAAAGGAAACAATTTATATAATCCTTTTCTTACGGGGATCCATTGTATACGCCTACGAATCAATGTTTCCGGACGCTTTTCCGCGATACAACATATATGATTCAAAGCAACAGGAGAAAAAGATGCACGACGATCACTATTTAAGCAATTACGCAGTAACGGAGGAAAATAACGTTAATGCGATATTGTAATTGATAAGTGTGTGTAGCGTGGGCTTTTTTTTATCGTTCGAAAGATCGAGCTTCGTTAACGTTACTCTTTTTTTTTCTTTTTTTCATTTTTTTACTAAGAAATATTGATTTTACATTACACAGAAAACATTTATACATGTGTATATACATACACGCATATATATGTATATATATATGTATACATGCATAAGATTCTTAAAGTCTCTTACTCGAATTCACAAAACACAGCACATTACGAAAGGAATCGTTCCGGCAATTGCGGTGCCTGGTTTCCACGTATACTAGATACCACATTTATAAATAACACCTTGTTTGTAATAGGAACTCAAGCAAGAATTGTAAAAATATCGAATACAAGGTACACGTATGACCTAAACCTGCTTTATATCCTTTAATATATATATTTACACTTTGTGAAAACGTTTTGTTATAATCACAAAATCACTTTCAATATTTTAATTTCTTTTTTTCTGCTTTTAGCTGATGGGTTTGTCTCTGATAATTTTAATCAAGAAT